TGACATTTTGCTAAGGCACTTGAAGATTGATACAAAGAGACCAACTGGGGCGGTGTATCTGTCCTTGAAACTTTCCACAAATCCTTGCACTCTTTCACCCCTACCCTAGAACATTGTGTTAGCATAACAGGACCAAAAAATGCAGAGCTCAGTTCACACTAGTGCGAAAATAGTGTTACAACTCGCCATGTGAAACAAAAGTGAATGAATATTAAACAACATATAAGCCTCAAAAAAGCGCCGGTAGCCCAGGTTAAGCCATAAACCAGTTTATCCACCCCCAGATAATCGAGAGTTGAGTGTACTTTTGTGATAACTGAGAAGGTATTGGGAGTGTGTAGTTCAGTGACACTTGTATAGCTCCCACGTTATAAATATGTGAAGACTACTGACAATAGAGTGAAGAGATTATTGTGTAGGGTTCGTAAAGTGTGTAAACCCATAATAGTGTCATAATTAATTGTAGTTACAACTTATAGGTTGTTAAATAAACCAATTAACAACCCGAACGGTGTCTTCAGTGGCAAAACACGTTACAATATATTATTGTGTTGTGACGGCTTTCAATAAAGAAAAACCAAACACAATTCAACAACCTGTGGTAAAAAGAATTTGGAAACTGTGGCATGCTTCAAACTCACAATTAATGGCATGTCAATCAGGAAATATTTCCAATGTAAAAATCATCAAATTTTCATTGACATTACAACTACATTCACATAAAATTTATCCAGTTCTATACCTCTGGAGCTGTTACACTATAGCTAGTGAACCTACTTTTGAGATAGATTTTGTAACAATTGGTCACAATTGTGTATTTCCATCTTTGCTTTCACTCAAATAAAAGAGAGGAATATTCTCATACCAATATTCTATGGATATACTAATTCTAAGGTAAACCATAATTACCACATGTTGCTTTGAAGATGTGCAGTGAGCACTTATGGTGACTGTTATGAACTGTACAGTATACAGTACCTGTGTTAATATTCATCTGAAAGTATCATCCAGCCAGCAATCTTCAGGAAAATTTACCATATTTATTTATTTATAAGATTATTCAAACACAAATTTTTGATGCACACATGTTCATCCTCCACTATCAGTGCTAGACATTGTCCTCCATCATGCACACAGAGGCTAGATTCATTTCTAATCATGATATAGTATACATATATATTTAAAATCGTTTGCCAATCACTCTGCTATGCTCTTAAGAAGACTCCCACTAAAGAAATAAAGTAAAAACATGTTCTGACTATGAACTACGTTTCTACAAAACAGTTTATCTCCTGCAAAAAGCAGATTCATTTAACCTGCAGACTCCCTACCCCACACATGCTGGTTAATGGGAAGTGCACCATACTATTAGGAGTGACTTCTAGATGATGACAGAATAACAACGAAATGGAAAGCCTCAGACTTTTACATATATACATAGCTATTATTTTGGGAGCTGGGACAGCATAGTCGGAATAGCGACTGGCTACGAGCTGGACGACTGAGAGGTCGGAGATTGAGTTCTGGTGAGATCAAGAATTTTCTCTTCTCCACGTTGTCCAGACGAGCTCTGGGGTCCACCCAGACTCCTATCCAATTG